GCCGAACATACGAACACGCTGTGTGTGAAATGAAGTTAAACATACTTATCCATGTATACTAACTAGCAACATGAGAATGTGGTTCTCCACAAGCATCTACCCACGCGTGTCTGCTGTTCTTTAGATCATGTTCTAAATGTCCTGGAGATTATAACAGAGAACGTGAAACTCATTGATTAGCGCATTTAAAAAACAAAGGTATGAATATGATGAAGTAAGTTTTCCGTGTTGTTTTCACCAATATGATGCCCTACATTACAGAAGTGACTGCTACGTGGGGTAGAAATAATCATACAGCTTTAACTACCTAGCTTGGTCATCCGCAGCAATATAGGTCGCAAAATAAGTATAGCAAAACAGATATGCTGAGCTACAGGCTCTGTCCTACACGGCAGTAAATAAATTCTCTAAAAGAAAAATGCAGAGGTGCCATCTTGTGGATGATGAAAAAATACAACTAAGTAACAAATAGGTAGTAACTCACTTTTAATATACTAAATATACAGTGACTTTGAATTACAAGATCACTTTCCAATTAAATTACCAGCAAAAATATCCACAAAAAGTTCGAATAAATAAGAACACATGATTACCAACATCAAAAGCTGGGCCACAAATTCTCAGTTAACAGAGCTCCAGTCTTTCCAGATAGAGTGGTCTGTTTAATTATTTTTCAGAAGAAAACCCATTAATGCCTATGGGAGCAACAAAGGCTCAATACCTTTAAAATAAGGCAAAAAATAATACATTATAGGCAATTTCATCCTGTAGAAATTTCAACTATAATATCAGCTCCAAAAAAGGTATCACATACTGGCTGAAAAAACTCTGTCAAAATACTCTCAAACTGCTAACAAGATCCTTTAAATAGCAAATACAAGATAAAAGTTACCTCCAACACCAATAAATGAAACACAGAAGGGACACAAGCAATAATGGGATTGTGGGGTAATTAAGGAGTCTGGAGTCCTCAAGACAGTTTGGTCCAATGAAAGCAGCGTGACCATCCCCTGCAGCGTTAGACCCCTCTGCCATCCTGCTGGGCACTGGCAGCGCGGGCGGTAGGGCTGGGAGCCACGGCCACAGCATCCTGGGAGAGGGGCATCAGTGGGAGATGAGAGCTCCCCACTGCTAGCAACCCATTTGCTCTAAACTCAACTTTCTCAGAACGAATGCTGCTGAGCCTTTTTTCCCTCTGGGAGAAGCACTGTCACCCCACTACCCTGAATTCGTACCAGCAAACGTGACCCCTGACTTGCAAAGAAAAATACAGTCCACCTTATCAGCCTTAACAAGTGGCCACCCCAGGATTTAGGATACTGAACCCGCAGCAGGGATTGGTTTGAGTCTTCCTTGCAAGGCTCGTCCACTTGAGGGAGATGTGAAGCCCCTCTTCCCAGGATAGTACGCGTTGCTCACGCAGTGATAACCCCTCTTTGGAGCACAACCTCTGAGTAACTGCAGAAGCCTGATACCTGTCCTACTCACAGAATGAGGATCTGGAGGCATTGTGCAGAAACTTGCTGAACTGCTGCATATAACTGAAAGCTACCACAAGGTGTGAGGGGGTGCAGGGGAGGTAAAACTTTAACTGACCACAGTATTTCACTGCAGAGATGCAAGTAAAGGGAAAAAAAAGAAATATGTGAAGAGAAAACCAATATTGGTTTAAAATTCTTCATGTCATGCATTAAAAATACAGAATAGCATTATTAAGGAAAACAGTTTATACATATTGGAGCAAAATTCTGTTTCTTCATGTCTTTGTAACAGGGTAATTTCATTGAAAACAACAGATTTGTTCCAAGTTTGTATTAGTATAACTGAAGTAGAATCTGGTTATTTATTTAAAATGCAACCCGAGCATACTTGTTTTGTAGGTAGTACTGCAGAACATTAAACCTTTAAATTATCTAGAAAAAAAAAGTAATCACTGTTTAAATATCTCGCATCGCAGTAAACTTGTTCTCCAAGAAGCATCTTCACTGCTAGACTGAGACACGCAAGAACATATTGCTAAACATAGTGGAAAAAATATAAATAGCCACATAAACACTGTGCTGTGGAAGTATTTTAATTCCAAACAGAATGTATTTGATGGAATAAACTTTTCTGCTGTATTCAGAAGTGCTTCTAAAGACAATATCCATCAATACAAAATGAAGGAAACACAAACCATAGTCCTCTTCATAAAAGGAGCTTTTTGTCTGTGGGCCCAGAACATAGTCAAGTTAAAACGGAAGCGAAGGTGCTGCAGGATAAAATCCCACCCTTGCAGCTCTGCTCAGGCTAAGAACTGTTTGTTGAGGCAAACACAGAATTTCTATTTTTGTGTGTGAACAAAGACAACTGCGTAAGAAGTATCAAATCAACGAACAAAAATTAGATTTGTGTGATTATTGTGCAAGACAAACTTGGCCAGATCACAGCCAGAGCTTAATGACGACCAAGTAGTCAGACATTTTAAGTGGCATCACCATCTCTACCTGCTTAACTTTTTAGTCTCCAACACCAGATTCATGTCCATCAGATCACAGCATTACATTAACCCAAAACTTCCCTAGGCCTGTGAGAAAAAACATTTCTCAGCTGCTTTCTGGTCAAAGCTGACTGAAATGCTATTTATTTGTTCTTTAAGAAGTGATCATGCAAAATGTGCCTGTATCTACATGCCCTCCTTGTAACCTAGGAAAGCATCAATATGGAGTAACGTTTCAGAGGAAAATTTAATATACACTAATATTCAGTGCTATAACAACATGCTAAATTAAGTACTGCATCAAACAACTTGTTTAAAAAACCCTGCTGTTCTGATTATTGACTTGATCCTGCTCATGTTGCTTTTGGTGCTTAAAACAGTGCTCGAGAGCAGTGTACTAAAATCGTGCAATAAAGTAGTGCTTTGGCAAGAGCAGTCCTACTAACTTTCACTACTGTTAATGTGAATCAGGAAAACTTGACTAACGAAGGCTTGTAGAATTTGGCCAGAATTCCAGCACTGGATGCAAGACCCTTTCATCTAAAAAAAAAACTGAAATACACGATGAGTCTAGAACAAAACAAAAGGATGAAATAGCAACAATAGAATGTGCTGGTCCTCTGCAGTTGCTGGTGTTGAGTGCCATCTTCGAATTTTCACCACACCTCTGACACAGCCAATTTATTTGATCTTTGAGCATGTCAGATTAAGTTTCACTTTAATTGCATAGAGCTGAATGTACATGCAACTACAATGCATTTTAACTTTAACCTCACAAATACTGATTATGCAAATATAATACTGTATATTACATTTGTCTCCTTTATCAATTTAAAATTTCACATTTGGTCTCCAGTAGACTAGGCAAAAAACACTAAAAATATTTCTTAGACTATTCCTGAGCAATGTTTTTATGAACTGTAAAATACTCTAGTTTATTACTACATTTATTAATATTCTCACATTTTAAACTACATATAAATCCATGCTTTGAAATTTTACAAAGCTGAAGATCTGGTAGGCACAATGAAAGAATAGAAACAGCTAAGCATCTTAAAACCAAGATGAGATCAACAAGAGAAGTGCAATTTAACTATGTACATAATGTACTCCCTAGTATTTGCTACTTTTTAATTTTCTACCACAATGTGAAGGATCCACTTGTAAAATCTGGTCCGTCAGACCTCAGCTCACTTCTCATAAACAGTTCACGGTGACTGGTGGCTGCGGATGAAGTTAATGCTGCTCAGTATTTCATTTTAAAATCAAAGTACAAAACATCCTGTAGAATTTCATCTTGAACAAGATCGTGTCCCCAGCTGCTGTAATAGATTTGAAATTGTAACAGCTGAACTGACACTTGAATACTCACTGAACTATCCTTCCTGTTCCCTTCTGTCTCACAGACAAGAGAGAACAGAGGGTCCGAGGACAGGACCCAGTCCTGGGTGTACAGGTTCTGTCTGCTGGGTATTTCCCCATGTCACTTCGCTAAACCTTGAAACAAGAAGCCAAGCTAACTGAAGCAGACTGGACCATGAGATAAATAATAGTCATCTCGGGTCACTGAAAATAGGTATCTTTTGTATCAAAATATATCTCTACTTGAACTTACAATAGCCTTTAAATTCACCCCCCAAGAGTCTATTTTTATGTTTTGAGAGGCTACCGGTTCTGAAAATTAGGCCACGCAGTCTCGAGTAATAACCTCAATTTGCATTAGTCATAAATATCCATGTGCAATTTGAAATTTGGTCATTTCCTCTAAATGACAAAAAGCATCAAGGCTTACAAAACGAACTTCAAGGAAAGCTTTCTGTAAACACAGTGAAGATTTCTGGATATAAAAATATGCATTCCATTTTCTTACTCTGTCACTATTGAAGATGTCTGCTCCCTAATAATTTTTTGTCTTAAAAAGAATCCTTTCTGCATTAAAATATTTCAAAACATTATCTCCATTTTTCTTATTTAAAAAAAATCCAATTTATCAAAAAATCCAATTTATCATCTTCTGTGAAGAATTAGTTTGACTTTGCATAGATAAGCATGCTCCATTATTTTGTAAGAACAGTTGAGCCCTCTTCCATCAGAAAACACCACCATCAAACCTGTCTCATGAAATAGCACATCTGTTCACGAACGAGAGCACGGATCCTGTTCTCTCAAATACACCACGGTAAGCATAACAATCGCCACAGACTTCAATGGACTTAAACTGGTGCAAATAGGAGGACATGTTAGAATTATATATTCCTCTAAACTTTCATACTCTGCTATTGTTAGCTTCATTGAGGAATTGTAAATATTTTTAAGGAAAGACCAATGGAAGACACTTGCCTTCAGGGAAAGATTTCCTGTTGGCCTTGCTGGCTTATGATCAAATGTATTGAAAGGAACAGTGCTGACTTAGCACCATGCATCAAGAACATATTTTCTATAAAGAAAACATGACCCTTCTGCACTGGCCAAATGCTTTCTAGCAGTCAAGAAGCATCAACATTTACTAATGATTTTTTCTTCATTTAAATTTGCGGGATGTTTGCTTCGTGCCATTTGTTTTTATTCTCCTGTCCCCTGTTGGTTTTTTAGAAGGAACACAATTGTTGCCGTTGCCGTTGCCATTTTTCTTTGGATTTGTACACATGTATGTTTTTAAGCCTTTGATGGGAGCAGCTGAACCGGGAAATACTGGGGTTTGCTTAGGGGGTCTAATATTACCACCACTCTGAATTTTAGAACCGTTCTCGGCGGGCTGCATATTGAGGAGCTGTTGCTTTGCAGTTGGTTTTTTTTTCAGTTCACTCCTCACTTCACCAAATTGTCTCTGAGAAGACAGTGCACATCCCATTCTCTCAGAAAGTTTCAAGTGACCTGGATGAGAACGTAACTGGCGACTTTCTTCACAGTATGAATCTCCCCTGTGACCTGAATAGCTCCTGGGCAGCTTTGTAACACTTTCCTGGGGAATCACTTGCTTGTTAGGCAAAGGGCCGAGCAATGCTTTGCCTTTGCCGGGGCTTTTTAGGGTACGGATGGAGCCGGGAGCAGTCTGTGCCCTGGCTTTGGCTGCCCTCCCTTTCTCATTCTGTACAGTCTGCATTTGCAGCCATTCCAGCTGCAAAAGGCGATCGATGTATTTCTCAAGAAATCCTGTTGGCTTTGGTCGAAATTCAGTTTTACCCTCTACATTAACAAAGATGGCCAGTTGCTTCAAGTCCCATGAGTTGAAAGGGGGTGGGAGGAAGTCTGGGTAGTAATATTCTGATTCTTTAAAACCCATATCAGGGACATGTTCCAAACAAACTGGATCGATTTCTTCAGCTCTGAGAATGAGTTCTGGTGGTGTGCAGGGAGACGGGGGAATGGGAATCCTTTCTGAATCAGAGAGATCACTGGCACTATCATCTTCAGCATCTTCTTTAATAATTTGTACTGATTCAAAATCAAGAAACATTTCATCTACAGATGCTTCTTGCCATTTAGAAGAGCATGGACCAGCTTCAGCAACATGTTCTTCGTGATTCTTTTCCAACTGTTCTTTTTTACTGCAAAAAAAGTGTTGCAGTGGGACATCTTTAACCCTACAGAAGCTACCTTGTGTGCTGCCCTGGATGCTAGGAGGGATCCTGTGCAGAAAAGATTCGTTTTGCCTTCTTTCTGGGAGGCTCCTCTCTGGTCCTTGTGCTCTGTGCAGTGATGTGCAAACACTCGTGATCCTAAATAAAAAGAAAGATCATATCCTATTAGAATGATTCGTGTCTCTGGAACATCAGTCTACAAAGGTCTTGTTGCCACCTTCAAGGACATGATCTACATGAATGGAGCTAAAACTGGCACGGAAACTTGGTAGTGAGGTAAAATTAATATTTGCTTGCAGAGACAACACTGCCTACTACCGATTTTTTTATTTTATTCTGATTTTGCCTGAGAACTCACTAAGGCAGGACAGTAAGTTTCCATATAGATAACTTCAATTTGTTGTCCTCATAAATTCTGAATTCTGAGGCCAGTGAAGTCAAAGGCAAAACACAGAAACCATGGTTTCATCACAAGCTTTTTATACACCAGTTCGAAATGACTACAAATGAAACAGAAAATCTTAACATAAAATTACCTTTTTGACTGAGTATTGTCATCCAGCTGCTTTCTTCCCTTCTTAAAAATACCTGGTTGGTTACTCTCTCGAGTGTCACGGGAAGTCTGAAACGATATGAAAGTATGTGATGTTATTAAGAAGCTGACGTAAACTAAGTACCCTTTTCTGTAAACAAACAAACAAACAAAAAAGAAATCATTTACCTTTTCAATGTCACTTGATACTTTTTTGCCTAATCTTCCAGGAGAAGATTTCACATGAGAAATTGGTTTATTTAGTCCTTTGGTGCTCGGATGGCTTTTTCCATTACTGTAACTAGCAAGGATTAAACAGAATATCACATATAAATAGCAGCAGATACAATCATCAGAATAGAAATACAAGAAAAGTTTAGACTGCAATTCAGTTTAAAAAAGAGAGTTGATTGCAACTATTCTTAGACTTAACAGTCATCAGAACTATGCCATTGTCACTTCTTATTTTTTATACTACTAATGCACTTCTATATTTTTAATACTGCTAATGGAAAAGTGAATAATTCAATCAGATAAGATAATAATAGAACTTAGCCCTTACATAGAATCCTCTATCAGAGTATCCCAAAGTTACTTTGGGGATAATAAATAGTAAGTATTAGAGACTACATATTTAACTACTGATTTCTATAGTACCTGGTACACGGTCCCACTGCAATTTAACAAAAGTAATTATAAAGTACAATATGAAGGCCACTGCAAGCCAAATCTTGCCTTTCTCATTTGCATACTCAACAAAACGTAAAGGATTATTCCTATGAAGTTAAGGACTAGAAGTGAGCAGGGAGCAAACAGTCTATTCTGGTATTAATATAAACTATTTCACAACAAAGGTACAAACAGAACTCACCATTTCATTTATAACATTTCACGTTATATCATTAGTAGGAGAAAAACTCCTATGCAAGCAAAAGCAATGGCATTACTGATCCGGACAGCTTAAAACTAAAATACGTAGTTCCTCAATTAAATCAGATACATTTCTGTGTAAGCACACAGAATCATTAAATCTGTGTATTCTGTAATAATCAGAAAACAGTGTTTGTACTACAAACAAGAAGTATTACTAATTTTAAAAAGGAAAGCTTTAAAATGTAATTTTAGAACACGAATAAGCAAACTGTGCCCTCCCAGTCTAATCCAGTTTGACTGCAGTTCAGTTAATCTGTCAGGCTGTACATCTGGTTCACATTTTTTATGTCAGAATAGTCAGAATAGATTTTGTTTTAAAAAACATGATTTCACCAATTCAAGAGCTTATAAAAGAACGAAAATAAGTCTTGTGCCTCCAGCATTGATGCACTTTGTGACCTGCATGATCGTACTGCACAATCATTTCTGTTGCAGTGGATCAGGGGAGGGGATGCGAATCTGAGCAGTACAGCCATGCACTTCTTAACCAATCTACAATATTTAGAGATTTCTGTAACTAGAAAGAGAGAGAATAATTTCCTTACTTTACCATTCCTTTGTGGTTTTCATTGATTTGGCTTTCTTTTTTCTGTGTCTCTCTGTGCAGTAATAAGGGATATTCTTGAATGCCAGGTCCCATTATTACTCTTTTTAAAGCGTATCTGCAGCTTTGTTTTTACATAATCTTCAAACGACTCCAGTCCTTTGGGTTCGCAAGACGCAGCATATCAAATGCAAACATCACCACGTCCTAGAGATGCAGTAAACAAACACCATGCGATTCCTCCCAACCTGATTTATTTTTAAAGCAGTAACATAAACATAATCAGCTACCAAAACAGTGCTGGAGAAAACACTGTCCCCTCCCCCAGCGCCCGCTTAATGGGAACCAGCATCTTTTGCCTTACTATTGCCGATCGATCCGTGCGGAGCCGTCATCACCCTGGGTACCCAGAGGAGCGGAGCAGTGCCGCCAGCCGTGCTCCCCCTCCCAGGGGCACAGGGTGGCCACTACACTGCAGAGCTCGGCGGGCCACAAAAAAAATGGGCCAGGCTGTGCTGCAGGAACCCCGCTGCGGCCAGCGCGCACAGCCCCTCGCTCAGCCCCACCACCTCACCAGTACCAGGGGAGGCTGGGCCAGCATCCCCCAAACCACCCAGCTCTTGCCGTGTGGTTTACAAGCCTGTCCCTCGAAGGCTGTTGGTATATACAGGGAAATACCTGACGGTACAGCAGTGTCTGAAGAGCTACTTTTCATTGTGTAACGTGCTTCTCATCGTTTTGTTCCTCCTGTGCAGCGCTGCATGTATTGACTGGAGCCAAACGGTGGTGGGCGTTTCTGCTCTTAATTTAACCAGAGCAGATGATCAACCCTCCGTGTTCTGTGCATGTTGAGTTGTCCTTTTTGTGTCAGAAAATGCGCTCTTCCTAGATTCATATATGCAAATTTTGTATCAAATGCTTAATTTTTTTCTTCTTCCAAAACAAATCTCTCAGTACTCATAAATTCCTACTAAAAATACTCAGGGCAGAAGCTGTAGCATTCTTTTATTTTCCAGACACTGCATTCCCACACCAGGGTGCACAGACACGATCTGCAAGAGGCGACAGATGACTAGCACCAAAACACCTCTCTCCTCGCCCACCGTTAGTTTTGTGCAGTGCTATTGATACACTTATATTCGCGTCTCCGTTTGATCCTGTCCCACGTCCTGTCCC